CGTCGTCGTCTTCGGCGTCGGAAAAGCCGTCGGGAGCGTCGTCGTCGTCGTCCGTCGTCCGTCGTCCGTCGTCCACTGTTCGTCGTCGTCGTCGTCGTCGTCGTCGTCGTTGTCGTCGTCGTCGTCGACGTCGTCGTCGCCGTCGTTGTCGTCGTCGTCGACGTCGTCGTCGTCGTCGTCGTCGTCGTCGTCGTCGTCGCCAAGGGGGGGACCCCTTGAATCATTTTCCCAGGGGGGGGGCTGTAGTTCACCCGAAGAATTTTGCAGGGGAGGGTGGGATCCTGGACCCCCCCAGGATATTTTTCAAGGGTGAGGGTGTGTGTGTGTGTGTGTGTGTGTGTGTGTGTGTGTGCGTGGACCCATCGGTTTTTCCTTCGGGGGGGGAGGGCGTTCGAGGGGTTTTTTGGGGGGGCCCTTGGTTTCTGACCCCCTGAGGAGTTTGTTTAGGGTGGGGGCTTGGTTTCTGACCCCCTTCGCGCTCCCTCCTTCGATCCGCAGCGATCCCAGGTATCCGCGAGATGCTTTTTCAGTGCGTGGTCCCAGAGGTCCCGACCCCCCCCGGTGGTAAGTTTTCGTCCCGGAGCAAAGGTGGTGGTCCCAGGTCCCGATATCACGCCCCAGGGGCCGGAATCGAGGGAAGCCGCCCAAATTGAAAACACCATATCGTTTCAGGTATGGGATTCGATGTTTATTGGTCTTGCTATGGCGAGCTGTTCGCGCTCCCGTGTCGAAGTCCGCCCCGGGCCGCCCCGGAAGGTCGTGTTCAACCGCCGCTGTCAGCCGTGGTGCTCGGAGCGCGACGCCGAGGTGAGCGCCGCGCTGTCCGACGCGGGTGCTCGGGAGAACTGGTAAGTGTGGATTTGTTAAGGCCTCGTTTGGCGCACGTCGGCAAATTCGGCCAGGGTGAACTCGGCCAAGCTGAGTTCGGCCTGGGCTGAATTCAGTTAGGCCGAGCTCAGTCTGGCCGAGGTCAGCCTGGCCGAATTCAGCTTGGCCGAGTTCATTCAGCCTGGCATAGTTTTTCTTGGTCGAGTTCAGTTGTTGCCCGCGCAGACAGCTCCCCACGCAGTCCTGTCAGGCTTCAGCAGGCCCCCCGAGTCGCCCTGGGCGGTCTCAAGACCCTGGCGCCATTTCTGGCGCCGCCTTTGGGGCGTTCCGCGCCCTGGGGTGCTGAGGCTGTCCAGGGCTGCTCGGGGGGCCTGCTGAGGCCTGCTGCGGCTGCGTGGGGGTTGTCGCTGCGCAGTCCGAAGCCTTACCACGCGAAGCTGGCGGTTGTGATTCGCTGCCTTGTGTAAGACTTGTGCAGCACTGCTCTACAGGGGGACTCCAGAAAAGCCCTCGCCTTCGAGGGGTCGAAGGTGTTGGCGTCTCTTCCTCGGCGGATTGTGGCGGAAAGCCGGCGGAAGGCGGCGGAAGTAAAACGAGACCGCCTCCGCTGGCGAGAGACGGCGGAAGGCGGGCGGAAGCGGGCCGAAATAAAAGTCGTTCCTCCAAGAGGTGACAATCTGTTTGGATTCGGGATTCCGAAGTCGGCCACGTGTCCACTACACACGTTTCCATTTGGCAGTTGACCGCATTTGTCCTTGAAAGTGGTTTGTCGTACTGTATCAAATGGCCTTCGGCCCGTCTTGGAGGCAGTCTGGAGGCCTCTGAAGGGCCTCTTTTGCGCCTCTTGGGGGCTTCATGGGGGCCTCATGGGGGCCTCTTGGGGGCCTTTTGGGGCCTCCTGGGCGCCTCTTGGAGCCTCCTGGGGGCCTCTTGGGATGGAAGGCTCGGGTTTTCGGTTCATGTTCCCTCTCTTGGGCCCCTTTTGGGGCCAACTTGGGGCCCTCTTAGGTCTTTGGGCCGTTTTGGGCACATCTTGCGCCGTCGTGAGGCCCTCTTGGGCCGTTTTGGGGCCCTCTTGGAAGCCTTTTGGGCCGTCTTGGGGCGGTCTTGGGGGCCTTTGGGGCCGTCTGGGATCGTCGGGGAGCCGAAACGGCGAGAACGCCAAGACCCTTAAAACACATCTGGAAAATCAATGATTAGGATCTCTTGGGGCCCTCATGGGAGGCGTCTTGGAGGCCTCCTGGGCCGTCTGGGGCCATCTGGAGCGTCTTGGAGCGATCGTTCGGCGACTCGGGGCCGTCTTGGACCGCTTGGGAGGCCTCTCGAGACTCTCTCGGCCCGTCTTGGGGCCCTCTTGGGCCCGACAAAGTCGCGCGACCAGATGCGGGGGAGCCCCGGGGGCACGCAGGAAGCCCCATGGCACGCGCCAAGCTCCAGGGGGCACGCGCCAGGCCCCAGGAGATTTGAGAACGAGGGGTCCGTGTCCTCTACCTCATCCTCTCAGCCGGGAGGTGTGGGGCTCAGAGAGGATTCGGTCAAGGGCCCGAGGACACGCCTCTTCGTGCCCAGGGGCACGGTGGCGGATGTTTTGTCCTCGGCTGGAGGACTGGTCTAGAGCGGACGCGAGTGGGCCGGGATCCGTCTGTCCGAGGCGCATCTGAGCGTCTTCGTGTGCCTCTCGAGGCGCTTTCTGCACGCGGTGGGGCCTCGCAGGGCGATTCTATGAGCCTGTTGGGCAGTCTTGGAGGGCCTCTTTTGCCCCTCGATCTTGAGACCACTTGGGGCCATCGGGAGGCGCTCTGCGGGCGGGGTTAGGACGAGGGTGAATCCGTTCCAGAGCGTTCCGTAGCGCTTTCAGAGCATTGCAGAACGATTTGGGAAGGCCGCGGTGCCCGAGACATCCTACAGAGCCGCCAGATCTCAGATCCTCCCCCGAATGTATCCTCGTCCAGGCTTTGTCTTACCGTTCGTGCTTGTGGCCACCAGAGAGGTGTCTCCGTGGAGTCGTTCCCGGCGAACGTGCTCTACGAACCGTGGTCTTTGGACCTCGGGGAGAGGAGGATGACGAGGAGGAGGAGGAGGAGGAGGAGGAGGAGGAGGAGGAGGAGGAGGAGAAGAATGAGGCGGATGACAAGGAGGAGAAGGAGAGGATGAGAGGAGGAGAACGAGAAAGGGATGATGATGCTGCTGATGAGAAGGAGATGATGGTGATGGTGATGATGATGATGATGATGATGATGATGATGATGATGCTGCTGATAATGATGCTGATGCTGATGATGATGACGACGATGATGATGCTGATGCTGATGCTGATGCTGATAATGATTATGATGCTGATGCTGCTGATGCTGATGATGATGCTGATGATGTTGATGCTGATGCTGATGCTGATGCTGATGATGATGATGATGATGATGATGATGATGATGATGCTGATGCTGCTGATACTGATGATGCTGCTGCTGATGATGATGCTGCTGCTGCTGCTGATGTTGCCGGCTAGTGGTGGTGGTGATGCTGCTGCTGATGATGTTGCTGCTGATGATGATGATGATGCTGATGCTGATGATGCTGCTGCTGATGATGATGATGATGATGATGCTGATGCTGATGCTGATGCTGATGCTGATGATGATGATGATGCTGATGATGATGATGATGATGATGATGATGATGATGATGATGATGATGATGATGATGATGATGATGATGATGATGATGATGATGATGATGATGATGATGATGATGATGATGATGATGATGATGATGATGATGATGATGATGATGATGATGATGATGATGATGATGATGATGATGATGATGATGATGATGATGATGATGATGATGATTGATGATGATGATGATGCTGATGAGGATGAGGATGAGGATGAGGATGAGGATGAGGATGAGGATGAGGATGAGGATGAGGATGAGGATGAGGATGAGGATGAGGATGAGGATGAGGAGGAGGAGGAGGAGGAGGAGGAGGAGGAGGAGGAGGAGGAGGCGCACAGTCGCCCAGCCCCACCGCGCTCCGCCTTCAGAAGACTGTGGAGTAGAGCCCGCCGAGGTCGAGCACCGCGTCACGCGAGCGTTCCAGAACGGGCCTCGCCTTCGGCGCGTCTCGCCCTGGCGGAAGCTGGCGGAAAGCTAGCGGCAGCCAGAAACGGCTGTGGCTCCGCTGGCGAACGCTGGCGGAAGGCCAGCGCGAGCCAGGTTCGACGTCTTCGGGCGTTCCCGTGGACTCTCGGCGGTTTTCCTGCTCCGGAATGCTTGACAGCAGCTGCGCCTCGCCGAGAGCGTGCCCGGATCGTCCCGATCGGCCTCCGGAGAGCCGAGGTATGGCCCGACGGCGGCCGGGGGGGCACTTTCAGGGAGGGGCAGGCTCGGGAGAGCGGGGCGTCCTTCGTCCCCTGCGCACGTTCGGGTCCAAGGTCTCGGGGATCGGCCCGTGGCCGGGGGAGGGGGGTGGGCGGCCGCCCTGCACCGCAGAGCGGCGGGGCGGGATGTCCCGGACCCCAGCTGCTGCATCCTTGTCTCCGCCGCCGGGGGGTGCCCCGCCGCCCTCGGGGGGACCCAACAGCGGCGTGGCGAGTCGGTGGGGCCTGGCGGGTCACCGCGCGGTTTTTGGGGCTCGGATCGCTCTCCGAGGACGTCTCGGGCGGCCCAGGCGGTCTTCGGCCCCCCCCCCGGCTGCGCTCCCTGCAGGAGAGCAGCACGGAGCTCCCCGCACGGGAGCTCGCAGATGGGGGGGGAAGGAGAAGCGACACCAAACACCACCAGGGGGGGGGGGCCACTTCCAGCGAGGGGGTCCAGGATGCCTCCCCGAGCTGGGGGTAGGGGGCGCCTGCAATTTTGTACGTGACTTGTGCTGGAGGACCTCACGCATCGCATCAACGGGCATGGGAGCTTCCTGGTCTTGGTGTCCAGGAAAAGTAGTAGGTGCCTGGGACTTCGTGACCCTTGGGTGGACTGTCAGTGCGCATGCCCCGCACGCACGGCCATGAACGCCCAGTGCATGCTGCCACGTCTGCGCCTTGATTGATTGTTCTCCTGCCACGTCTGCGCCCAGCCATTCTGGTTCGAGGGCTGCACTGTTTTGCTGAGGCTTGCGGCTGCCTCGCCATCGGGTGATCCACTCCTCGACAAGCAGCCTCTTCTCGAACAAGATGTGCTGGAACATCGAGTTTTCATTGGCGTCGGCCGTGCTCGGGTGGGCAGCCTGCCTGTACCTGTGGCAGCGCGGTTACTCCGTCCGCGACCGGTGGTACTCGGGAGAGGGAACCCCGACTTCCGGCTTCTCGATTTCTACGAGACACAGACCCCCGACCTCTCGACCACTTCCCCCTGGGACCAGTTGTTCATCCCGAATCGTCTTCTGAGGGTCTTGAGGCCCGGTAAGGGCCTCGAGAGGCCGAAAGTATTGGACCCTCCCCGTCTTGATTTTTTCGAGAACTGATGCCTGGGAAGCTGGTGGGGCGGCCATCGGGTGCCGTATCTTCGTTGATGTCGGCGCCTGTGGCCAGGCCAGGAATCTGATGTCCTCAGAGATGCTGGGGCCCACAGTGGGCCCGTGGGAGGGGCTCTCGCGGCCTCTTCCCCCTGTCCCCCAAGACCCTGACATCCTCCGATGTGCTTTTGCTCGTGCACCAAACGATTCAGGACGGGCGGTTTTGGGCTGTTTTGGGATTCCATGGGGGTCCTTGGTAGGCCCCAGGACCATAAAAACGACTCAGGATGAAAAACTGGTCCTGGGGAAAGCGTCGGGACTTCTTGGGATCCGCGCTGAACAA